CCCATTCCTAAATCCATGGACCCTTAAAGCAAAAGCCAAATCCGTTTTACATCACATCACAGCTACCCTGAGCGAACATGGAATCGCAAACAGCGCTCCTATGTCGGTGTAAAAGGCCTCGGGTTTCATTATAGAAATTCAGAAAAATCCCTCAAGAATGGACGCTATCCCTGAGCCTGAAGAGAAAGTGCAATGATGAAACCCGCTCTTGGGCCTTAAACCCCTGGAGGGACTTCGGTGGGATAATGGTTGCGGATTGAGGTTTTGGGGTCTGAGGTTTGGGGTGTAGGATTTTGTGTTTATAGTGTTTAGCTTATAGAGTTTTAAGATTATATAACTAAACCCTAAATCCTAAACCCTAAGTAGACCTTAACTTATAGGACTCAGGGTTCAGGGTTTGCAGTTTCGGGGGCCTCGTTTTGCAGAGCTCGGGGTGCGGATCTTGAACTTCTTGACTGAAAGGGCTTGCCTGGACCCCAAAAGTGTGTAGAATAATAGCCCTTTGTAGGTGTTGGGCCATTATTTTGCTTCCTTTTGGGGGGCCCTAAACCCTAAACCCTAAACCCCCAAGTTTAGGTAGGCGGAGATCCTGTACCTTGTTTGCCCAGCAAAGGACATAAACCCCTGCTTCAACGAGCTTTCCTGGCTCTCAGAGCAAAGGGAAACCTGAATCCTAAATCCTAAACCCCTGCGAAACGTGCGCTTACAGAAAATCCTAGAATACGAGCTCTGAGCCCTAAACCACTGTATAATCTCTGCCCTAAACCCTAAACCCGAAACCCTAAACCCTAAACTTCCTAAACCCTAAACCCCAAGCCCTTAAACCCTTAAACCCTTAAGCCCTTAAGCCCTAAACCCTAAACTCCGAAGCCGAGGCAGCTCAGAAGGCAGCTGCTTCTGCCTTCGCCTCCCCGGACTGCTGGCGTCGGAGCTTCGCCAGCATCGCCGGCTCTTCCCCTTGGCTGTGGCGCAGAGACTTGGCTGACTTCAGGGTGTGTAGGATTTTAGGGTTTAGGGTTTAGGTTGACTTCAGGGTGTAGGGTTTAGGGTTCCTTTTCGGGAATTTGAGGGGTATGATAAGGCTTGGCTGACTTCAGGGTGTAGGATTTTAGGGTTTAGGGTTTAGGATAGGGTTTAGGGTTCCTTTTGAGGGACTTTGAAGGGTATTGTAAGGGAGGGTGTATAGGATTTTAGGGAATTTGAAGGGTATTATAAGGGATACCAATATAGGGTTTAGGGTTGAGAGATTTTCTAACCTCTTACGCAAGCCAGCCTGCCTGACCGATGACAGAGAAACTGTAGCCACTGATAGCAAACGCCTTTCAGGGCCCACTAGTGTCTTCTGAATGCAGTATACTAATCAGAAGCCACCTTGAAGGCCCATTGTTGTAATCCTCATAAGTGCTGTTGTGATGCAGCGGGGTTGTAGAATTAACCGCTTAGTAGCTGAATGACTCCACTTTACCCTGTGTGATCATGTAATGCTCTCTAGGACGGAAAGCTTAATGTTTTGGGGGGCTTATGAACTCGGCAACTAAGATCGGGGTGTCATAGCAAGCATCCCCTCTAGCACGCTTCCGCTTCGGTTAGACGAAGCCTCATGACACAAGGTCTCAACTCAAGAGCCATACCTGCCTCGCGTTTTTGGAAGAATTAGGGGCCTGAAGCGCAAGACCGAGCAAGCCCTGTCGGAGACTTTTCTCAAGCTTATATAACCCGGTTCGAACGCCTGCATTTGGAGGATGCTGCTTCTGGCAGATCAGCCTCTGTTGTCAACGAATATGTCTACGGTTGCGCATGCGACTTGCATGAATCCGTCCTGGAGACGTTTTGCTTTAAAATTTACTCTGGGCCCGGGATCCGGCTGAGATGCTTGGGCCGCGCAATGTTTACAACCCCATGGATATATGCGGTTTTTAATTGTGGTTATGGTAGACTGGGCGAGCCTACATTGTAGGCTTTGACTGGTTTGGGCGTCATGGTTTCGGGTACCAGGTCCGCAACCAGATATTTTGTAGGTTTGGGCCTTAGGGGTCCTGCGGCTTCGCACTCACACTCAAACTGTCTCCCCGGGCTGCTGTAGAGTAGGGTCTGGTCCCTTTGATGCCTCTTTGTATAGGACTCCTTTCAACGACGGCCCCTGAAAGAGACCCGGAGTTCGAATAAACACTAGCTTTCGTAGTGCAGACTCCGGACAGTCAGCGGCATCTGGCGAGATCGAAGCATGAAGTGACGTCGAGCATAAGCAGCATAAGCATGTTCTTTCGAGTGTAACATGCAACGATCATAGTCGCTCCTGTTCCTGACTTTGCCTGAAATATAACACGAACCCCCCTCCCCGATGGTATCCGAAGATCTCTCACAACCCCAGAGAGCCCTTATTTGATTTGGGCTTGAGCGTCTTGGGGTTTAGTTGCTCAGGGGCTTGGACGTCAGGGTTACAGCTTTCAAGCTTGGGCTGTGGGAGGTAGATACCCACAGGCTCCATAGTAGTTCCTTTTTGTGGCTTATATCCTATAAGGTAACCCCGAAAAGGAACTACTATGGAGGCTATGGGTAGTTTAATGTTTTTGTTTGCCTACACGCTGGGGATTCCTGCACCGCAGCCAGGGTTTCGCCAAGGGTTCGAAGTCACTGAGTGCTCACAGCTCTTCTGGATAAACTTCGGGGCTCATAAACTTGAAGTTCCAAACTCGACATGGGAATTTCCGAAGTTTTCAAAAAGAGCCCCATCCCCTTAGAATTCACAAAAGCACCAAAGCTTAAAGCCAGCATCCTTAAACTCGGAAGCCTGGATGCTTAAACGGGTCCTAAGCCCATTCCCCGCTACCTAGACTCTCCATTGTAGCTCCTTTTTTGGGGCTAACCAATTCTATCGTTTCAGGTAGCGCCCAAAAGGAACTACAATGGAGACTATTGTGGAGACTAGAAGTAAACCCTAAACCCGAAACCTTGAACCCTAAACCGTAATCGTTGAACCATAAACCCTAAACCCGAAACCTTGAACCCTAAACCGTAATCTCTAAGCCATAGAGCGGCTTCCAGGAGTTTGGCTTCAAGGGCCCGGAAAGAGATGAGATGCCTTTGAGCTGCAAGGGTTCACGGGGTTTAGGGCCTACCTTTTTTGGGGGCTCTTAGGGCTTAGGGTTTAGGGTTTAGGGTTTAGGGCCTACCTTTTTTGGGGCTACTAGGGCTTAGTAAGGGCCTGGGTCTACCTGGGCCTACTTTCTTATTATGATTTCCTGATACCTAAACCCGAATAAAAACCCCAGGTCCTCCAAAAAGGTAGGCTATTTGTGCCCGAAACCCTAAACCCTAAACCCTAAACCCTAAACCCTAACCCAGGGCTATTTGGGTCAAAGGGCCCCAGGGCCGACCTCAACAGCCCCTGCCTTTGCTTTTTGTTGGGGCTCTTTTCTTTTTTTGTGGGGGTTCTTTATGCAAGTCCTTAGAGAAATCTAGGCTTCCGGGGGGTTAAGGCAGGGGTTGGGGGATTTAGTGGTTCAGGGTTTTGGGTTTACGAGTTGCTATGGTTTCTGCCTTGACGGTTCTGTGGTTTACGGTTTAGGGTGTAAGGGTTTCGGGGTTGGGGCTTTGGTTAGGCTACAGACGTGTGAGGCACGCGTTAACTTTCTCCGAGCCTTCCCATGATTAGTCTCCATTGTAGCTCAATTTTTCGGGCTGCCGTATTGGATCCAAAAGACAAAATTGAGTAGATCAAAACAAGGAGCTACAATGGAGACTGGGTTTGTTACCACAAAAGGCTCAGGCGCTTGTCCCGAGCTGGTTGGCGGCCAGGCAGCAAAGAAATCGAACTAGTAGCCGCAATGGCATTCCCATCCCTTGTCGATTCCTGGGACCTGAGACATTCAGGCCCCTATAACTACATGTAGTTCAACGCCTGGCATCGCAACTTTGGGTGATTTGAGAGAGGCAAGCACAAAAACCCGGACCCCACATCCCGAACCACCTCGGCAACACTCTCCCGAAAGACTGAAGCCAATGTGCACCGCTGCTTCGAGCCCATTTAGGGTTTAGGGTTTATAGGGTTTAGGGTTTAGGGTTTATAGGGTTTAGGGTTTATAGGGTTTAGGGTTAAAGCTGCTGTCTCCCAAGGCTTGGGGGGATTGTAAGCATCGTCTTCTTCACTTCCGGTGCACTGTTCTCTCTGGTAGCCGGGCGGCTCGCGGATCTCATGAAGCGGACCGACCTTCCGTCAGGGCTCGTGGTTTTGGGCTTTGGTGGTTTGGTTTGGCGAACCCTAAGGGTCCATGTACCCAAATACTATATACTTTGGCCCCAATGTACCTACATAGGGACTACTTTAA